TTTGAAAAGTATCAAGATTTTCTAAATGACCACTCTTTCGAAAAATCGTCCCGTTGTTCCTTTTTTCCCTCATGGCTTTTTAGGCCATTCTCTTGAAACGCGAGTTTTCAACCTTCAAATGGCCATAAGTTTCTTCAAAGTCGGTACATTGAGAAGCGGTAAAGACCACTGAAATCAGAAAGATCAGTACTATATAGCAGATGCTAGATTATCTTGAAGGGGAAAATTCTCCTGCCATAGGTTTTTAGTAGTCCTCCAGAGGTGAGTCAGCCGAATTCGCTGCACTTTCCTCCACTTGGGGTTGTTCAAGGCATGGGTGTTTCTTTGAAGGCACGAGTTGGGATTGAATTGATGCGTTATTTTGTTCAAACATTAGGCAAGGGGTGCAATGAGGAACATTAGTGAGGAGAAAAAGCAAAAAGCACCATAGAAAACACTAAATTTCCCTTAGGAGGCCGGCCGTAGTACGACGGAGAGACACAGCGCTGCGAGGAGAGGGAGAACGCGAGATAGTACGAGAGGACGCAGAGACCACGTATGCCGTGGTGGATTACGCGCTGGCAGCGCGGGCAGCGCGGCGGGCAAGGCCTTAGCGCCATTGCCGCGCACTTTTGGTCGCGATAGTGTCGCACCTTCAATGCTTGGGGAAATGGCTTTTAAAGGATTATTCCGCTTGTGACTGGAACATGACGTATTTTAGTAAGAAATCTCGCTCTAGGATGCGCCATTCAATCGTCTGTGGTGCGTAGTCGCAGTGGCAGTTGAAAGTCTGTCCTCCTTTGCCACTTAGCCACGCCTTGGCAACTTTAGTTTTGTGAATGGTACTTGAGATTACGAAATGGGTCATTGAAAATGAACCACGATTTGGCTGTTTCCAGTGGTGCTCAAAAGTATCGGGCCAAATGTTTCGGCCGTAACTTTGTTTCTGATAAATTAATCCAAATTTTGATATTTTCTGCAAACAAACCTTTCTCACAAAATCAGTTTATACTTATAATAGGAGCAAGAGTGAAGAGTGAAAATCATTACACTGAAGTCTTCCATCTATTGCCATTTTTACGTCGGTAGTCGTACAGAAGACCAAGCTTATTCAGGACACATAAACTGATCCGTATTGAAGTCACGTGCTTATATAGAGGAGATGCGAGTTCACTCGAAAACAAGTGATACAAAAAAGGGTCATTCATTATCCTACTACATATAATCTATATATAATCGGCTAAGCGGTTGTGTGTGTGTGTCTGACCGGAAATTCATAACTTCACCTCCCTTTGGACCCAGAGCGCTCAAACTTCTAGGATATATAGGGGGCTGGAGAACACTGATGATGGGTGGCGGGAAGTGATAACTACTGATAGGAGCTGATAACGGACGTCGAAATGTTGATGTCACCAATTTCGTTACGCCGTTCGCGTTGACGGTGGAGAGTTTGCACTCATGTATGATATGTGGGGTGAGGCGGGGACCAAGAAGTTGAGTGAACGAATGTGGTAGCAACTGATAAGAACTGATAAGGGGCGTCAAAGTGTGGATACCACCAGTTTCGTTGCGGCCCTTCGCGGTTACATTGGAACCTTGGCTCTCACATGTGGTATAGGGGATGGGACGGGAACACGGATAGTGGATGATCAAAAGTGATAACAAGCGATAACGGTTGATAAGGAAGTTAGGATTTTGAGTACTGCTAATTTCGTTGTAGCCTTCGTGGTGACAGTAAATATTAGCTCCTACACGTTGCCTGGAGGTTGGGACCGGGACACCGATTGCGAACAGTATGAACTGATAACAAATGACAAGGAATGATAAGAGCGTCTGAATGCAGGTCTCTCCAACTTCGTTGCAATTATCACTGGCAAGCGATCAAGGTGGCGAGGGTTGAATGTAGGTGACAGAAAGTGGTATGAGCGGCAACTGTACTGATAAAAGTAGCGAAAATTGAGCGTGCACTCAGCTGAACTAAATTCCTATCTTTTCATTCAAAGAAGCTAAGAAGCTAAGAAAGTTGAGCTGCTCAACTATCTGGACTTGGACTAATAGCGAATTTCCATCATATTTCCAATTTCCATCATAGCTCGTTAGATGCTGATTGATTGGTTATATTTCACTTACACACCGATTCTTCAATTGTGGAAATTCTATAAACCGCTAAATCATCCGAGCTCGATATCAATGCTAAATGTTTACGAAGTCATGATAAGTACATTTTCATTCCGCATGCTACTGCGCGCATTACGCGACAATCTTCAGCGAAATTGGACACCTTTGAACTTCATGTGACACATCTTCCAAACATCTTACTGTTAGTTTCTCAGCCACGTGACCTAATATTCTGCAAGTTGTCCAGTTTCACTAAAGCCCACCATGTGATGCGCGCGGTTGCGTGCGGAGCTAAACTGGTACATCCATAACAGCCATATTGTAAGCAGATTCCAAATCATTCTTAAAATCATACGATCCACGAGAACAATCGACCACCTGATAAGTAACTTGAAGCAGATCTAATACTTTGTCCATAGTCCTCTAAAGTCACTAAAGCCTTAGTACGGCCTGAGTAGGAAGTCATTCAATCAATTCGTTGTCTTCTGATACATCTTCTTACTCGTCCATTTTCTGGGATTTTTTTTCTGCCGAAGCTTAATCACCCTTTCCCGCAGTGTTTCGATAACGCCCAGTACTCGGGTTGTCCCCCGTTTGAAGCATGCCTTGCCGTCGAATCTCTTGTAAAGGCGAGGTGCACTGCTCCGAGTCAATCTATTAGGTTGTCTCATAAGTAGTGTCGCTTTTTTTCAACCAAAAAATTTTCATCTAAATCCCCATGCTTTTACATCGAGTCATATACCATTCGAAAGAGAATTGTCTGCTCTACAAGATGCTATGTTCTCTTCCACCTCTGTTCCAGGGTTTTCAAATTTTAGGCCTGCGAAATGGGAGGTCCAGCCGACAAAAATTGACCAAACCGACAACTAGCTCTAACTTTATCTTCCCTTGGAGAAATCAATCAATGATGTACCCTCTACTTATGCATGACCTCTTCTAAACATTACACTATTAGGTTTCCCAACAAGTCGCGTCATTCCATTTCCAGACCTGGTTTTTCAACCAGAACTCGACGGTCAAGCACCATTATATAGCATACATTATACGAAGTTATACGAAGTTAGAATGCACGCCTGGTTGATTTTTTCATCTTCTCAAGGATTATTTTTTTCAAAGAAATGCGGTCACTTTCGTGGATAAAGCACCTTACTCCTAAACACCTAAAATTCGAGCTAATTCCTAACAAACATAAAAACAAAACAAATGAGCGAATAGAGCAGAAGAAGTGCTCACAAAAGATACACCAGTTGATATAAAACAATAGCGTTTCAGAGGAAGAATTTCAATTTGAAAATTGCCATGACTTAAAAATTCAGTCGGCCATAAAAATAACACGTCCTACTCGCGCCGCGCGCACATCTTATGTAACCATCCTCCAAGCCTCAGGTGAACTGTCGGATAACTAGCGATCTAACAAAGACCTTTGCAGCGTATATCATTCCAACATGTCTAGGCACGGAAGTCAGTGCGCAGTTCGTATTTTGAAGAAAGGGAGCCTGAAAGAAGCTCTGAAAGACTGTGCTAGGCAAATTGGGAGATAAGCGACTTTGCAGGCTAGCATAGACTTCGTTTGGATCCCAAGATCCTTAAACACGGAAGCGGATATGGCATCTAGATTCATCGATCTGGATGATTGGAGCATATTCAATCATATTTCTTAGAACTTAGTAGTTCATGGATTACCAGATTAGTCCCCCGTCAACCGCCGGGACCTTCCTAATCTCGCGCAGCATTTCTATCCTGCCGCCAATGGCCTTCCTCCTGTGACACCAACACCTCCTGAAAGGTGACGCGTATGCAACACAATGGTGTTTCAAACAGTAGAAGGGACACAATCATGATATGACGGTAGATTTTTCGCTTCCCTTCCTCATCCTCCCTTCCTCTCTCCACTGCCCTCCAGCTGCCACTGCAAAGCACACGCAGGAATAATGAAGTTGCTAAAGAAAGGTTAATAGGCCCGACAAATATCCTGCTACAAAACATTGATATCTCAAATCCTGTAAGCTACCCCATCTGTTATCGGTTTGTTTATCCCATGAGCTTCCTTCTCACTCACTTCATTTTGCGGACGGACACACATACATACATACACACACACACACACACACATACAGATACACAAACCGACACACAAAGTTAGCGCTTTATATAATAGAAGGATTATATAACATCATATTTTCTCAGAACTCAGTAGTTCGTGGATTAAATGTACCGTAGACATGTTTGCTACCACAAGTACCGCAAAATGTGAACATTCATTTCCAAATTGGCTTGTGAAAAGTCGAGCGGCATCGACGCTTTCGCTAACGATTCAGCATTGTGGTGGAGGTCATCAGCTTGCTGGTGGGTTCCACCTCCTTATCTTATTCCGAAAACATTGGCATGGGCCAGATTACATCACAGCAAAGGGATTCTGGGCTTCCCAATGTGGCCTTCCAACATGTTCTTCCCTTTACTGAGAGATGGGAACGGGTGGATCTTGGAAATGAAACATCTGGTAGTTTTCCCAGCGGGGTCTCCGGTACTTCAAGGAGATTCGCCTTCATACACTTTCGGGTCGCCTTCCCTCAACTTTGGCTTTGCCTTTGCTTTTCTCTCCTTTTGACCCCCTCCAAACTTTGAATTACTCCGTAGTCTGTTGCGTGTAAAGACAAAACGTTAGTTTCGTCGTAGAGTATCGGAGACGAAAATGGAGTTTTGTATGTCACGCAACGACGGCAGGTCCCGCCGGGATCGGGACCTTTCGACGCGGTCGCGTCGCGGCCACGCCGCGTCCGCTGGTCGGGATGACCCCTCCCCATTCCGGCTTTCGTTTTCGTTACGACCTCTCCCCCCCACCCTGGAAAACGAAAACATTAAGTGGAAAAACCCGTTCGATTCTATTTCAGATCCTCCCCTAGCTAGACGCTACTCCAAGGCCTCATCTACGGCACTCTTGGCCAGCCGACAGAGGCTTGGAAGAAGTGGGGCAGGTCATACAAAGATGTATCGACCAATCAGTGGCCCCAGGAACCTTGAAAATATACAAACGAGTCAAGGCCCGATTCCTGGGGTTTGGAAGGTCCCTTAAAATCCCCGCCTTGCAAACTCCCAAACTCAGGAACATTTTTATTGCTCATCTTATCCACGAAAGCGAGGATCGTTCCCTAGGGTATCACGTTTCCGCCCTGTCCCACTTTTTTGGACCCCTTCCTGAAGACGACGCAGACATCCCGAGGCTCTACTGAGAGCGGCCAGCAGGTCTAGGAAGCCTGTCAAGCATCGCACAAAAGCCTCAAAGGATGACGTTGAGAAAATCATAGAAGTTGGTTTAACGACGGATTCCCCAGGGCTGATGTGCGCCGCTACCACTGTTATGCTAGCCCTCTCGGCACTCCTGAGGGTAAGCAAAGTCAGTCATCTTCAGTTCCAAGACTTCACCTACAAAGGGGACGGGGCTTGGGGTATACTCATTAAAAGGTCCAAAACAGACCAACAAGGACAAGGGGGGAAGTAGTGGTGGCCAAATGGGGACTCCAGGAAACCAAGTTATGGCAGATTTTCTGCCGTCTCAAAAGACCACTCCTACCCCAAAAAATTCTCTTTAGTGGCAAGGTCGGTGAAGCCCCTTCTAGGGACTTTGTAGCCAAAAACATCACCAAAGTTGCCAAGGCAGCAGGTCTCCAACATAAAAAGTTGACCTCGCACTCTCTCCGGGGAGGAGCGGCCACCCACGCAATTAGACAAGGGGTGGATTCGGGTAAAATTATGCTTGCAATTCGTTGGAAATCCTTCCAAGGCTTTAAGAGCTATATTGAACCCTCTCCACTGTAAACGTCCAGGGATTGGCTTATTGTATATTTCAGAGCTATCAATGGAACGACTTCAGCAATCAGGACAGAGACTGTTCGATGGCCAACACTCTGGATATGACATGTTGGAAATTCGTGAAGCGGCTCCGTGTGTATTTTCCGTACTTTAATTGTTGATATTTTTGTCATGTTTCTTGTTATCCCGTTACTAGGCTATAAGCCTCCTATGAAGCTCATAAGAGATTTGAACATTGTTGTTATCTTTAGTTGTTTCTGTACATATTACTTTAGTTGTTTCTGTACATATTACTTTAGTTGTTTCTGTACATATTACTTTAGTTGTTTCTGTACAT